CTGTCTCTGTCTGTCAGTGTCTAGACACCGCCATCAGAGACCGGTCTGTCTCTGTCTGTCAGTGTCTAGACACCGCCATCAGAGACCGGTCTGTCTCTGTCATTGTCTAGACACCGCCATCAGAGACCGGTCTGTCTCTGTCATTGTCTGGACACCGCCATCAGAGACCGGTCTGTCTCTGTCTGTCATTGTCTAGACACCGCCATCAGAGACCGGTCTGTCTCTGTCTGTCAGTGTCTAGACACCGCCATCAGAGACCGGTCTGTCTCTGTCTGTCAGTGTCTAGACACCGCCATCAGAGACCGGTCTGTCTCTGTCTGTCATTGTCTTGACACCGCCATCAGAGACCGGTCTGTCTCTGTCTGTCATTGTCTTGACACCGCCATCAGAGACCGGTCTGTCTCTGTCTGTCAGTGTCTAGACACCGCCATAAGAGACCGGTCTGTCTCTGTCATTGTCTAGACACCGCCATCAGAGACCGGTCTGTCTCTGTCTGTAATTGTCTAGACACCGCCATCAGAGACCGGTCTGTCTCTGTCTGTCAGTGTCTAGACACCGCCATCAGAGACCGGTCTGTCTCTGTCTGTCATTGTCTAGACACCGCCATCAGAGACCGGTCTGTCTCTGTCTGTCAGTGTCTAGACACCGCCATCAGAGACTGGTCTGTCTCTGTGTGTCTAGACACCGCCATCAGAGACTGGTCTGTCTCTGTGTGTCTAGACACCGCCATCAGAGACTGGTCTGTCTCTGTCTGTCATTGTCTAGACACCGCCATCAGAGACCGGTCTGTCTCTGTCTGTCAGTGTCTAGACACCGCCATCAGAGACCGGTCTGTCTCTGTGTGTCATTGTCTAGCCACCGCCATCAGAGACCGGTCTGTCTCGGTCTGCCATTGTCTAGACACCGCCATCAGAGACCGGTCTGTCTCTGTCTGTCATTGTCTAGACACCGCCATCAGAGACCGGTCTGTCTCTGTCTGTCATTGTCTAGACACCGCCATCAGAGACCGGTCTGTCTCTGTCTGTCAGTGTCTAGACACCGCCATCAGAGACCGGTCTGTCTCTGTCTGTCAGTGTCTAGACACCGCCATCAGAGACCGGTCTGTCTCTGTCTGTCAGTGTCTAGACACCGCCAACAGAGACCGGTCTGTCTCTGTCTGCCATTGTCTAGACACTGCCATCAGAGACCGGTCTGTCTCTGTCTTCCATTGTCTAGACACCGCCATCAGAGACCGGTCTGTCTCTGTGTGTCAGTGTCTAGACACCGCCATCAGAGACTGGTCTGTCTCTGTCATTGTCTAGACACCGCCATCAGAGACTGGTCTGTCTCTGTCTGTCATTGTCTAGACACCGCCATCAGAGACCGGTCTGTCACTGTGTGTCTAGACACCGCCATCAGAGACTGGTCTGTCTCTGTCTGTCATTGTCTAGACACCGCCATCAGAGACCGGTCTGTCTCTGTCTGTCAGTGTCTAGACACCGCCATCAGAGACCGGTCTGTCTCTGTCTGTCATTGTCTAGACACCGCCATCAAAGACCGGTCTGTCTCTGTGTGTCAGTGTCTAGACACCGCCATCAGAGACCGGTCTGTCTCTGTGTGTCATTGTCTAGACACCGCCATCAGAGACCGGTCTGTCTCTGTCTGTCAGTGTCTAGACACCGCCATCAGAGACCGGTCTGTCTCTGTGTGTCTAGACACCGCCATCAGAGACCGGTCTGTCTCTGTCTGCCATTGTCTAGACACCGCTATCAGAGACCGGTCTGTCTCTGTCAGTGTCTAGACACCGCCATCAGAGACCGGTCTGTCTCTGTCTGCCATTGTCTAGACACCGCCATCAGAGACCGGTCTGTCACTGTCTCTGTCCACTACTGAGTTGCTCTTTTTCAGAAGCGACCTGACCACAATCGATAGCGCAACAAAGTGGCTTATCACGTGGAAATTTAAAGCAGCAGTCAAATACTCTCAATGCGGACGTTGATTCTAAATGTGGACGGAAAAACCCGACGACTAAGAGAAGGCGCGAGGTTTGGGATCGAATCTATGACCTCCTGCATACCGGGCGAGGCAATTAATATCTCCTAGCCACCGCAGCATCAGGGTCAGGATCGAATGCCATGAAGTCCTGTATACCAGGTGAAGTAGTTAACATCTCATATCCACCTTGGTGTCAGGGTTGGTTGGGATCGAACCCATGAACTCCTGTATACCAAGCGAAGTAGGTAACATCTCCTATCCACTGTGGGCGTCAGGGTCGGGATCGAACCTCCACGACCTCCTGCACACCTGTCGAGTTAGTTAACATCTCCAAACCACCGCAACGTTAGGGTTGGGATCAAATCCACGACCTCCTGCACCCCGGAGCAAGGCAGTTAACGTCCAGCTCTCTGGCTCGGCGCCCTCGCGAGGTGGCATGGGCGGTGGGGCAAACACGCGAGGCAAGGCGACGGCACCATCACCTTGTAGGTGAAGCTGCGCGTGTCGTCGTAACCCAGCCACTGGTCATCCAGGTGGGCGTAGGGCACCGCCTGCTCCTCCAGCCACTCCGCGTTGTACTGGTCCTGACGCAGCCGCTGGCACACCTTGGGGGGCGGTGCGCGAGAGCCGGGGAGGGGACGGGGTCACGGCGCCCTTAACTCTTCGTGATCAGCATCTTTAATCGTTGTCGTCGTCGTCATCCACGCGGGAACTATCCGCTGCTGGATGTAGGTCCCCCCCCCCCCACCCCCAACCCACGTGCGAGGCGCCAGATCTGTGTAGCTCTTTGCATACGAGCCGATTCGTATCGCGTCTCTCGTCTCCTTCCTTGTTGCCCTACACTCCTCCTCTTTTCGATTTAAAGCTTTCGTGACTGCAATGATTCATCTTCTTTGGTTCTTTCGGTAAAGTCACGTAGAATGAGAATAAAATAATAAATTGATAAAATAAAATAACACAATAATATTCTCACGACGTTTCGGCCACAACACAAGCGGCCTTCATCAGGTGAAGGGACGAGACCAGTCACAAGCTAATCACTCAGCCATTTCAATGCTAAATTATATGCTAATTCCTTTGTCAAGGCGCTTTGTTTCCTCTCACACAGCTTAAAGGTCGTGATCTGAACGTGGCTCTTTCACTCCAGCGCTGTCCTACCAGACAGTCTCGTCCCTTCACCTGATGAAGGCCGCTTGTATTGTGGCCGAAACGTCGTGAGAATATTATTGTGTTATTTTATTTTATCAATTTATTATTTTATTCTCATTCTACGTGACTTTACCGAAAGAACCAAAGAAGACTCCTCCTCTTCCTTCCCGATCTTCTCCCTTGTCTCTCCATCTCTTCTCCCTGTGGACCAATCCCATTGCTGGTCTTTCTCCTTTCTCCCTCCTTGCAGCCTTTCACGGGAATAAACTTCCCCTGGATATTGAGCAGTACCGCCGATAGGCTTAACCACTGCCCCATAGACTCAACACTGCCCATAGACTCAACACTGCCCATAGACTCAACACTGCACCGTAGACTCAACACTGCACCATAGACTCAACACTGCACCATAGACTCAACACTGCCCCACAGACACAACACCGCATCATAGACTCAACACTGCCCCACAGACTCAACACTGCCCATAGACTCAACATTGCACTATAGACTCAACACTGCACCATAGACTCAACACTGCCTCACAGACTCAACACTGTCCATAGACTCAACACTGCACTATAGACTCAACACTGTACCACAGACTCAACCCTGCAGCACAGACTCAACACTGCACCATAAACTCAACACTGCCCCTTAGACTAAACACTGCCCCATAGACTCAACACTGCACCATTGACTCAACGCTCCACCACAGACTCAACACTGCCCCTGTACACGATGCAGCCCCCCTCCTTAACCTCCTTCCATTCCCCTCTCTCTTCAAGCCTCCTCGCCTCTTACCCATTTCCCGTTGCCTTCCCCTCGCCCCTCCACTCCTTCCCGTTCCTCCCCTATTAACCCCTTGTGTGACCCCCCCCCGCCCACCCAACTCCAAGTAACCCCCCCCCCACTCCTATCGCTCGCACTCATTCCTCAATCCAGCAGCGGAATAATCACGGCCCCGATTGGGCGAATGATCTTGAGTTTTGATGATAGTGTGCTGATCTTTAAAGGTGTATTTAATTTTTTTTATACTGCTACTGATACTCCTGCTGTTATGGAGTGACTCATGCAGCTAGCTATGGCTGCAAAGTCTGGTCGTACATGTTATGTATATATCGTTTATTGTTATATTTGAATCACAGTTCCTATGATCACCGTTACATTGTTTTTATAGCTTTATTTTGGTGATTATGAAAAGTTTTGGTGTTTGTTTTTTTATAGTACAGAGTTAGCCTGATAACTTTAATCTAAATTGTCTTATGGTTGTTATTGTTTGACTTGCATCCCACTGGGATTTTTGCACACAGCGTTGATATACGGTGTTTTTTTTCTGGAAGACTTTGCTGTTTTTTCCCGGATTTTTCTGTTGCACGTAGTCACCTTAAGATGTTTCTTGTTCATGTTTTTGTTTGTTGCGGTTGCACCCGAGTCAAGAGCCGCATGGCTCACAGGGTTATCTATATATATAAAAGGGACATTTGTGAATGTGTGTCTGGTCGAAATGTTTAGCATACTTCCCAACATGCAACAAACTTGAAATTTGACATGTGGGTAGATTCCAGACTCTACACAATGCAAAAAAGTATAAAAATAGACTTTTCTATTTTGGGGGGGGGCGCGCAATAATGGAAATATATTGCATGGCAAGTGAGCGGTGACGTCACATCTGTGATGTCACCCGCACGCGGCAGCGTCACGCAGTGTGCCTGCTGACGTCACGCAGTGTGCCTGTCGACGTCACGCAGTGTGTCTGCCGACGTCACGCACCCCCCCCCCCCCCCCCCCCCCCCCCAACAAACCCCTCCGCGTAGGCCGTGTATTAATCCAAGACAAGAATGCAAGTCCCGGGCGAAGCCGGGTAGTGAAGCTGGTACCTAATAAATGAAACTGAAATTGACGGCGTGAGAGCGCGGGGCCACCTCGTAGTAGGCGAGGGTCCCCGCCGTGCCCGTGAATGCGCCGGCCTCGCCTGGTCCGGAGGACGGCGCCCCGAGCGCCGTTCCGGCTCCGCTCAGCGTGAACGTCGTGGCGTAGGCGGGCACCCCCACCACGAGCTTGGAGGGGGGCACCCCCCTGTCCAGCCACAGCTTCACGGCTGACTCCTGTGGGGGGGGGGTGGGGTGACAAGTGTGCCGAAGGATGGCACGAGTTATTGAAATTAAATCGTCCCAATCGAAATGTTGTATTCATGGTGGAGGAGGAAGCTAAAGAGCTACAAAGCTATTCTTGAAAATCACAGATGTCAAGTAGGGGGGAACGCCCCAGGACGTTACAACAACAAACACAGCACACACGCAAACACGACAGGTAAATAAGTCACTGAGCAAAACTTAAACACAAATAAAACTATGAACTTATTATTTGGGTCTTTCGGTAAAGTCGCTTAGATAGGTTCAAATAAAATAACAAAACATTTACCGAAAGGCCACAAAAAATATTAATTCCTGCATTCACCAAAGCAGGTGGTGTCTAGAAGTCAAAACTATAAACTATGTACTTTTTTCTTACCAGGTAAAGCCCACTGAGCTATTAGCTTATTTTTTTTCAGAAGCGACTTGGCCATCACAAATGATAGCGCAACAAAAGTTTGCTTGTCATGTGGAAATTTATAGGAGTAAAAAAAAAATCGAAATTATCTAAGCGCGTGTTCCAAAATCAACTCCGATCCCTGAAGGGGGGAGGAATTTGACAATTGGATAAGGGGGTGGGGCACCCACCTCATCCCCACCTCCCCCACCCCCAAATTAATAAATTTCCACCAGGGCCGACGCTAACCACGCTACACCACTACCACCAACGCAACCATTCTGTCATCCACCCACTCGCTCACCCACCGAGTCACCCACCCACTGTTTCGCTTACCCAACCACCCACTCACCCACCAGCCCACTGACTTGCTCACATGACCACCTGTTCACCCACCCACCCACTACCTCTCTCACCTGAGCACTAACTCACCAACTCACTCACTTATCCACCCACCAACCCACCCACTCACTCGACCACTAACCCACCCAGCCATTCACCCATCCACCTACTCACCCCGCCACCTGCTAACCCACCAACCCACTGACTCGCTCACCCACTCAGCCACCCACCCACTCACTCAACCACTCACTCACCACCCATCCACCCATTCACCAACCCATCTACTCGCCCACCCGGCTCTCTCACAGGACGGCAGCCCCCCGTTTAACTCGGAGCTCCCAGGGCCCACTCGATCTCACCGTCGTGGTCTGCTCCGGGTACAGGGAGGAGGAGAAGAGGGGGCTGTGGTGACTGGTTTTTCCGTTCCAGTTCTGCATGTCGTAGCACATGACGTTGATGAAATCCAGGTACCTACGGGGAATGACAACGGCGCTCAAGGACCCAGTTTTACTTACGATCATCGCCGTCGTCAGCATCATCGTCCCCTCACCAACCACGTGTTTCGCATCCGCGGTATTCGCATACCCTTTGGCATACCAATTTACTCACCGCGGTATGGGATTTTGTGTATCCGTGGTTTATCGTGGTGAGCGGCACTTGCGATTTCAAATCAGAATATTTATTTAGACTGGAGGAATCCAATGGGCCATGAAGCTCTTGTTCACAGATGGCCAGTAGTCTTCACAGATGTCCTGTAATCTTCACAGATGTCCAGTAGTCTTCACAGACGTCCACTAGTTTTAACAGATGGTAAGTAGTTTTCAGAGATGTCCATTAGTTTTCATAGATGTCAAGTAGTTTTCACAGATGTCCATTAGTTTTCATAGATGTCCAGTAGTTTTTACAGATGTCCAGTAGTCTTCACAGACGTCCACTAGTTTTCACAGAGGGCCAGTAGGTTTCACAGATGATGTCCAGTCGTTTTCACAGATGATGTCCAGTAGTTTTCACATATGTCCAGTAGTTTCCACAGATGTCCAGTCGTTTCAACATATGTCCAGTAGTTTCACAGATGACAGCCAGTAGTTACCACAGTAAACCAGTAGTTTTCACAGATGGCGGCCAGTAGTTTTCACAAATGGTTAGTAGTTTTCACAGATGTCCAGTAGTCTTCACAGACGTCCACTAGTTTTAACAGATGGTAAGTAGTTTTCAGAGATGTCCATTAGTTTCCATAGATGTCAAGTAGTTTTTACAGATGTCCAGTAGTCTTCACAGACGTCCACTAGTTTTCACAGAGGGCCAGTAGGTTTCACAGATGATGTCCAGTCGTTTTCACAGATGATGTCCAGTAGTTTTCACAGATGGCCAGTAGTTTTCACAGATGTCCAGTAGTTTTCACAGATGACGGCCAATAGTTTTCACAAATGGTTAGTAGTTTTTACAGATGTCCAGTAGTTTTCACAGATGACGGCCAGTAGTTTTTACAGATGATGTCCAGCAGTTTCACAGATGTCCAGTGGTCTTCACAGATGGCCAGTAGTGTTCACAGATGGCCAGTAGTCTTCACAGATGCCCAGTAGTTTACACAGATCACCCGCAATCTGCGGTGTCTCTGTGCATCGTCTCATCTCCCCCAGCTTCGCCACCGCCGTCTTCCCACCACTAGGTGGAGGTAGTGGATAGGCAAAGCCCTCTGAACAACCACCCTTTCACCGTCATCACCATGGACTTCAACCCTCGGTATTAATGATAATAACATAATTTTATCGTGCTTTATTAAGTGATTTGAACATTTATTGCTTTTTAATGCTTATTGCATTTGTGTTTGGTGAAGCATACATGTCAACCCCTTATCAGTGCCTGTCTTATTACAGACCAATTCCGGCCTCATTGGTCACCCCGTGCCCCGTATAAATGTCAACGTTCGTCCTACAAAGTCCCATCACAAGGGAGAAACACAAACAAATAGACAATCATTTTTTTGTTGCCCATATTGAAACGGCTGTAACGCCGTATGGACCTGAAAACTCAATTTCCCCTTTACAAGAATATGGGTAAAGACCGTGTTGGGGTTGACACGGTATGGTGAAAGAACGGGCAACCGAATTCGGCTTTGACGAGTGTGACCACGGTTGCATTATGCCCTAACCACCCAATTTCCCGTAAGGCCTTGGCATTGGCAACCGCGGCCGTTTTCAGGAAGGCAAGTGGGGTCGTGGTATCCACTGCTCGACGAACACCCAATGTGGTCACAAACGAGATAAGACTGGAGGGATCCGATGAGCTATGACGCTCTTTATTCACAGATGTCCCCGAGTGAGAACGGGGGTCGGAACCGAACAACAACAAACACAATACTCACACACACGGTAGGAGTGCTAGGTATACGAAAGGTAAATACATCACTAAAACAATATATACACAAGTAAAACTAAATAATGTATTTATCTTGCAAGGTAAAGCCCACTGAGTTCTGTAGCTTCTTTTTCAGAAGCGACCTCGGCCATCACAAGTGATAGCTCAACTAAGTGGCTTATCTCGTGGAAATTGATAGCAGCATTTTAATCTAAATGATCTAGAGGGCATGGTGATTCTAAAAGTGGAGGGGAAAATAGGAGAACCTGGATAAACAAATTCTCGCGACACACGGGGAGGGAGAGCAAGATACATGCAAACTCCATATATATAGGCATTATGGTCGGGATCGAACCCACGGCCTCCTGCATTACAGGCGAGAGAGTTAACATCTTGCTACTGTGGCACCCTTCTGGGTCTCTATGTGAGTCTATGGGTCTCTGTGTGAGTCTATGGTCCCTGAGTCTGTGGGTGTCTGTGTGAGTCTATGGGTCTCTGTGTGAGTCTATGGTCTCTGAGTCTGTGGGTGTCTGTGTGTGTCTATGGGTCTCTGTGTGAGGCTATGGGTCTCTATGTGAGTCAATGGGTCTCTGTGTGAGTCTATGGTCTCTGAGTCTGTGGGTGTCTGTGTGAGTCTATGGGTCTCTTTGTGTGTGGGTCTCATCTAAATGATATAGACACATGTTGATTATAAATGTAGAGGGAAAAACCAGAGGACCTCGAGACAGAAATCCATACGACCACGGGGAGAGAGAGACACACAAACTCCAAATATACAGCAGACGTTAGGGTCGGGATCGAACCCACGGCCACTGCTGCACCCCTTCGTATCATAACCTTGGTCGGCCAAAAGAGGCTAATCTATTTAATTAATTCATGAAATATTTTTTTGTTAAAAACAATTCGCCCCAACTAATGAGGGCATCGCATTACCTTACAGTACATAGATTCAACGAAGGTAGACCTAAATTTTGATTTAAAGCTTTCGTGACTGCAGGAATTCATATTCTTGGTTCTTCTACGTGACTTTACCGAAAGAACCAAGAATATGAAGGTAGACCTGCCTATATAATCGAGACACTTGTATCGTAAAATGTATCAAAACGGGAGGACATACTCAAGGAAAAAGCTAAAAGGGCAAAACAATGAGTGAAGAAAGAGTTTCCTGCCATCGCCACACTTGGCGTTGGACCCCTCTCCCCGCCTGCTCCCCACCCCCCCCGCCACCCTCCGATGGAGGCGCCTTACTGGTGAATCTTCTCCACCTCGTAGCTGCCGTCGACTATGCTCGCGATGGGCGACACAGCCACGGCGAGGAGCAGCCGCGGCCTACCCTGGGCCAGCACCTCCTCCTCGTCGAAGGCGGACCGCAGCTCCTGCGGCGGGGATGGATAAACGGCCTTCGGGGTGAGCCTCGTATGCAAGGAGAGTGAAAACCGTCGTCGCCACAGCACGAACGACCGACGTCGCGCGAACGACCGTCATCATCCTCGCAGCAGCAGCAGCAGCGTTGAGTTTGCCGTCCTTCCTCCAGCCCCTCCGGTTATCACGGTTTGCTACATATGGTGCCAAAGAAATTCAACATACATACATACATGGGCGGGGTGAGTGGTCGAGTAGGCGGGTGGCTGGCCATCATCGCGTGCACTTTCGGACGGGCGCTTCTGCGGCCGTCTGGAACGCTCGTCCTTCCGATATTGGGAGGCCACTGAGAGCTTCTATGCACTTTTAAATCATCGTCGTCCAGATTGACAAACTCATTCGCACCGTACGTAGCCAACTGTGCTCATTGTAGCTGCGTGGGAAGACAATACATCTAAACACAAGAAGCAGTTCTGAAGAAATGAGGATGACCCTATCATTGGGCATTTCTTGCCAGTATCAACATATATTTTCTACCATTTCTGGTAAAGATGTTCAAACGCCAAACAGAAACCTTTCGTAAGGACTCAAGTTACTGCATTAACCACACACAGGTGTTGTGGTGAACATGCAAACAAACACGGCTCCGATAATAATGTTACAAGCATTGTCTCTGAAACTGATTGGCCTACACCAGAGGCAGCAGCCTTGCTTTAGGACCTATTGTCACCAGCAGTGCCAGACCAGAGAACGACGTCAAAAGTTGAACAGCACAAGGGCAATGCACCATCGGAGCATTGAGAGCTCGGGGTGAGCAGCTACTAAATGGGACACATTTTTGCCAGTATTAAAATATGAAAAAATAAGAATAGGCATTTACCCTTTCTGACAATAATACAGCAGTTGCGTTGAGATGTTCAAACACCAAATAGAATGATTTTGCAATGAATCATGTTACTGCATTAGCCACACACACTACCTGCGGTGAACATGCAAACAAAGAGCATGCTCTGGTCATATATGATGCATTGTCTGTTGTTTGCATGTTCATCACAAGTACGTGTGGTTATTGGAGACGTGATTCCTTGCAAAGGTTTCAGTTTGGTGTTTTAACACCTTAACACCTGTTCTTGGTTCTTTCGGTAAAGTCACGTAAATAGAGTTTAAAAAAAAAAAATCGATGTATTAATTTTTATTTTGACTTTTTATTTTATATCTACACTGCTATACACTACTATACACTACACTATCCACTACTATACACTACACTATACACTACACTATCCACTACTATACACTACACTATACACTACACTATACACTACTATACACTACACTATCCACTATAATACACTACTATACACTACACTACACACTACACTATGCACTACTATACACTACTATACACTACACTATACACTACACTATACACTACACTACTATACAATACACTATACACTACTATACACTACTGTATTGCCAGAAAGGGTAAAACCTACTCTTGGAAGGATGACCCGAGTTCGCGTGACGATGGTTTATGCTCCTTGACGATGTCAGCGAGGTATCTCGGCTCATTCGCGGCGAGCGCTTTGCGTGTTCGTAATGAGCGCGACCTCGCAATGACGCACCCGTTCAGGCCACCAAGCCATCGCCACTTTCACGAGTTCGGTTGCGTCGAGCGTAAACGCGCGCACTCGAACGAACTGGCCACAAGACAGACGTTCAGATATTCAAACCGCTCATAGTGCAAGTTACTCTGTGTGTGTGTGTGGTTCATGCGGACTGTGATAGGCCCGACGGTTTTTCCCGTGACGACGGTCATTCCCCGGTTGTTCTCACGACCATGGTCGTTCCACGGTTGTTCACGCGACGACCGTCGTTCAACGGTTGTTCACGCGACGATGGTCGTTCGACGATTGTTCACACGACCATGGTCGTTCCACGGCTGTTCACGCGACGACGGCCGATCTACAAAAGAACACGCACTCGGCCACTGCGCCTCGGAAGCCCAACGAGCGGAGAGCCGAGTGAACGCCGTGCGGATCGTCCCTGGCTGGAACGCAGCAGAGGGCGGGGGGTGGGGGGGGGGGGGGGGGAGGGCACACCTTGAGCAGGGACGTGAAGCGCTGCTTGTCCACGGCTGGGCTGCCCCTTTGCGCCGGGTACTCCCAGTCCAGGTCGAGTCCGTCGAAGCCGTACGTGCGCAGGAAGCCGACGGTGGATGCGACGAACACTTGCCTGTGGTCCCTCCTCGATGCCATCGCCGAGAACCTTGGGCGGGGATCGACGGCGCGGGCGAGACGCAGAGATGCATGGATGCAGAAGTTTAAGACACGTGCGTACATGAAGAAGTTCAAGACACGTGCATACATGAAGAAGTTCAAGACACGTACATACATGAAGACGTTCAAGACACGTGCGTACATTAAGATGTTCAAGACACGTGCATACATGAAGACGTTCAAGACACGTGCGTACATGAAGACGTTCAAGACACGTGCGTACATGAAGATGTTCAAGACACGTGCATACACGAAGAAGTTCAAGACACGTGCGGCGGGGATCGACGGCGCGGGCGAGACGCAGAGATGCATGGATGCAGAAGTTTAAGACACGTGCGTACATGAAGAAGTTCAAGACACGTGCATACATGAAGAAGTTCAAGACACGTACATACATGAAGACGTTCAAGACACGTGCGTACATTAAGATGTTCAAGACACGTGCATACATGAAGACGTTCAAGACACGTGCGTACATGAAGACGTTCAAGACACGTGCGTACATGAAGATGTTCAAGACACGTGCATACACGAAGAAGTTCAAGACACGTGCGTACACGAAGAAGTTCAAGACACGTGCGTACATGAAGAAGTTCAAGACACGTGCGTACACGAAGACGTTCAAGACACGTGCGTACAGAAGAAGTTCAAGACACCTGCATACATGAAGAAGTTCAAGACACGTGCGTACATGAAGAAGTTCAAGACACGTGCGTACAGAAGAAGTTCAAGACACGTGCGCACACGAAGAGTTCAAGACACGTGCATACATGAAGAAGTTCAAGACACGTGCGTACATGAAAAAGTTCAAGACACGTGCGTACACGAAAAAGTTCAAGACACGTGCATACACGAAGAAGTTCAAGACACGTGCGTACACGAAGAAGTTCAAGACACGTGCATACACGAAGAAGTTCAAGACACGTGCGTACATGAAGAAGTTCAAGACACGTGCGTACATGAAGAAGTTCAAGACACGTGCGTACACGAAGAAGTTCAAGACACGTGCATACATGAAGAAGTTCAAGACACGTGCGTACATGAAGAAGTTCAAGACACGTGCGTACATGAAGAAGTTCAAGACACGTGCGTACATGAAGAAGTTCAAGACACGTGCGTACATGAAGAAGTTCAAGACATGTGCGTACACGAAGACGTTCAAGACACGTGCATACATGAAGAAGTTCAAGACACGTGCGTACATTAAGATGTTCAAGACACGTGCGTACACGAAGACGTTCAAGACACGTGCGTACACGAAGAAGTTCAAGGCACGTGCATACATGAAGAAGTTCAAGACACGTGCGTACATGAAGAAGTTCAAGACACGTGCGTACATGAAGAAGTTCAAGACACGTGCATACACGAAGAAGTTCAAGACACGTGCGTACATGAAGAAGTTCAAGACACGTGCGTACACGAAGAAGTTCAAGACACGTGCGTACATGAAGACGTTCAAGACACGTGCGTACAGAAGAAGTTCAAGACACGTGCGCACACGAAGAGTTCAAGACACGTGCCTACATGAAGAAGTTCAAGACACCTGCATACATGAAGAAGTTCAAGACACGTGCGTACATGAAGAAGTTCAAGACACGTGCGTACAGAAGAAGTTCAAGACACGTGCGCACACGAAGAGTTCAAGACACGTGCATACATGAAGAAGTTCAAGACACGTGCGTACATGAAGACGTTCAAGACATGTGCGTACACCAAGAAGTTCAAGACACGTGCGTACATGAAGATGTTCAAGACACGTGCATACATGAAGAAGTTCAAGACACGTGCATACATGAAGAAGTTCAAGACACGTGCGTACAGAAGAAGTTCAAGACACGTGCGTACACGAAGACGTTCAAGACACGTGCGTACATGAAAAAGTTCAAGACATGTGCGTACACGAAAAAGTTCAAGACACGTGCATACATGAAGAAGTTCAAGACACGTGCGTACAGAAGAAGTTCAAGACACGTGCGTACACGAAGACGTTCAAGACACGTGCATACATGAAGAAGTTCAAGACACGTGCGTACATGAAGAAGTTCAAGACACGTGCGTACATGAAGAAGTTCAAGACACGTGCGTACAGAAGAAGTTCAAGACACGTGCATACATGAAGAAGTTCAAGACACGTGCAAACATTAAGAAGTTCAAGACACGTGCGTACACGAAGACGTTCAAGACACGTGCATACATGAAGAAGTTCAAGACACGTGCGTACATGAAAAAGTTCAAGACACGTGCGTACACGAAAAAGTTCAAGACACGTGCATACACGAAGAAGTTCAAGACACGTGCGTACAGAAGAAGTTCAAGACACGTGCGTACACGAAGACGTTCAAGACACGTGCGCACATGAAAAAGTTCAAGACACGTGCGTACATGAAGAAGTTCAAGACACGTGCAACACGAAGAAGTTCAAGACACGTGCGTACATGAAGAAGTTCAAGACACGTGCGTACACGAAGACGTTCAAGACACGTGCGTACATTAAGATGTTCAAGACACGTGCGTACACGAAGAGTTCAAGACACGTGCGTACATGAAGAAGTTCAAGACACGTGCGTACATGAAGAAGTTCAAGACACATGCGCACACGAAGAGTTCAAGACACGTGCCTGCATGAAGACGTTCAAGACACGTGCGTACATGAAGACGTTCAAGACACGTGCGTACATGAAGAAGTTCAAGACACGTGCGTACATGAAGACGTTCAAGACACGTGCATACAGAAGAAGTTCAAGACACGTGCATACATTAAGAAGTTCAAGACACGTGCGTACACGAAGAAGTTCAAGACACGTGCGTACACGAAGAAGTTCAAGACACGTGCATACACGAAGAAGTTCAAGACACGTGCGTACATGAAGAAGTTCAAGACACGTGCGTACATGAAGAAGTTCAAGACACGTGCATACACAAAGAAGTTCAAGACACGTGCGTACATGAAGAAGTTCAAGACACGTGCGTACACGAAGAGTTCAAGACACGTGCGTACATGAAGAAGTTCAAGACACGTGCGTACATGAAGAAGTTCAAGACACGTGCGTACACGAAGACGTTCAAGACACGTGCGTACACAAAAAAGTTCAAGACACGTGCGCACACGAAGAGTTCAAGACACGTGCATACACGAGGACGTTCAAGACACGTGCGCACACGAAGAGTTCAAGACACGTGCCTACATGAAGAAGTTCAAGACACGTGCGCACACGAAGAGTTCAAGACACGTGCGTACATGAAGAAGTTCAAGACACGTGCGTACACGAGGAAGTTCAAGACACGTGCGTACATTAAGATGTTCAAGACACGTGCATACATGAAGAAGTTCAAGACACGTACATACATGAAGAAGTTCAAGACACGTGCGTACATGAAGTTCAAGACACGTGCATACATGAAGAAGTTCAAGACACGTGCGTACATGAAGAAGTTCAAGACACGTGCGTACACGAAGAAGTTCAAGACACGTGCGTACAGAAGAAGTTCAAGACACGTGCGTACACGAAGAAGTTCAAGACACGTGCGTACATGAAGAAGTTCAAGACACGTGCGTACACGAAGAAGTTCAAGACACGTGCGTACAGAAGAAGTTCAAGACACGTGCGTACACGAAGAAGTTCAAGACACGTGCGTACACGAAGAAGTTCAAGACACGTGCGTACATTAAGACGTTCAAGACACGTGCGTACACAAGAAGTTCAAGACACGTGCGTACATGAAGATGTTCAAGACACGTGCCGCCCAGGTTGTGTTTTTCGACTGCGGAAGCTGAGCCATGCTCATGAGGTGTAGTGAGATAGAGACGTAGTGAGATAGAGCGGTGTAGTGAGATAGAGCGGTGTAGTGAGATAGAGCGGTGTACTGGTGGCCTCCTTGGACTCACTTCTCCACGCCGAACACGTAGCCGCCAATCGACAGCAGCACCTGAAGCTCCGGGTTCCTGCGAAGCGCGAGACAGCGGCCGGTCCCGGGTCGCTGTCAATTGCGTCGCTCGTGAACCGCACTCGCTGTAACGTGCGGCACGAGCGGTTCCAACGTCGCGCATTCCCGGCGACGCAACCGGTCGGCCCCGCACGTTGACGCGCGGCGCAACCCGAGCTCGCGGGAGTGGCCACGGGCCCGGGGTGGGGGCGGCCATCGCGAGGTCGCGGTCGTTACGAACACGCAAAGGGGCGCTCGCCTTGCGAATGAATCGCGGATGCCTCGATGATCTCGTCGATGAGCTGCAGGCCCACCGCCATCGTCGCCATCGTCGTCATCGCGGAGGCTTTTCGGCTGACCGTCGAACAACGACGGCGGTCACTGCATCGTCGTCGCGCGGCGCTTTCGGACGCGCTTCTGCGGCCGTCTGGAACGTTCTTCCCGTGCGATATTATGAAACGTCCGTGAGCCACGTACTCCGTAAATCATCATCTACATTGACGAACTCGTTTACACTGACAAACTCATCTACATTGACCAACTCGTTTCTGCCAAATTGCTTTTTTTTGTGCTTAGGTCAATGCCTTTCCCCCGCACCTCCGATGAGCACGGTCGGCTACGTACGGCGCCAAAGGAGTTCAACGTTCGGCGCGATGACGTCAGCCGCACCCAACGGTTTTTGTGCGTCGCGCCGACGTCACCGCGCGCTCCGGCGCCAGCCGTGGCAATTCGCACGAACGCGCGGTGGGGGGGGTGGGCGGGGCGTCACGTCGTGCCGCCGTGTGACGTTGGGAAAAAGTTTTGCCGGCTGGCCGATCTGGGGGACAGTAAGTAAGGGCGGATGGGGACATCTGAATGGAGGGTCGGTCGACTCCGTTCGGAAATGGGTTTGGCTGGCTCGATGGAGGGACGGACGCATGTGCGTATGTGCGCATGGATGCTGAACTTCTTCCGCGCCGTGCGTGGCCCACCGTGCCAATCGGAGGCGCGAATCCTGCACCTCCCAGAATGTCGTGGCGGCTGATGGACGGTCACCTCTAAAGGACCACGTGACCTGCTACGTTCGGCGGGGGGAGGGGAGGGGGGAAGTTTTGCTGGCTGGACAGATGATCAGACGTTCACGTCTAAAGGACCACGTGACCTGCTACGTTATGCAAAATGTTTTGCCGGCTGAACGGAAGATCAGACGGTCACGTCTAAAGGACCACGTGACCTGCTGCATTATGAAAATAGTTTTTTGCCGGCCGGACGGACGGACGCAAGTGGACGCGGGCGCAGGCCCGCCAGCATAAATCGGCAAAACAACAACAACAACAAAAACTCGGCATTGGCGGTCGGCTCACCTCGCCTTGAGTCCCGTGAGCAGCCGGTATACGGTGGGGTCTCTG